CTTATCCACTATGAGGACAGCCAGGTAGCAGAGCACGTTGTCTAGAGAGGTTGTGCCATCTTCTTCCTTGGAGTTTTCTCAAGACCTAACTGGTTAAAGCCCTGAGCAACCTGGTCTGACCTCACGGCTGACCCTGCTCTGAGCAGAAGGTTGGACTGGAGGTCTCCTGAGAGCCTTCTCACCTGAGTTATTCTCTGATTCTCTAATCAGAGTTTCCTCATGACTTCTCTTAGAATATCACGATTAAAAAATCTAATACACAATCCAACAGGGTGAATCAAAATAATGTTAACTCAATACTGGATGGCATCAAAACTCTTTTCTCCCTCTAAGTCAGCCAACCCTCCCTGTGGGTGATTACTTCACTGACCCAGTGACATCAGCCACGGTATTTCTATTGCTGTGGACACGTGCTTACCACTCATACTCAAAAACATTTGTGCTGCTTTATAAACATGCCACAGAGCCTGGAAAGGAGAGGATTAGAAACATGCAGGTTCTAGCATCTGGAATTTATCACCTCATTAAAAGCTCTGACGTGACAGTAGCTAACAACAGGAGGAAAAATAAACAGAAAAGACCTTTGGGATTGGCCAGTCATACCAGGGAACATACTTCACCCTGCAATGAGGGGGACATTCACAGTCATTCTAATCAAACTACTCCTCATCAGCAAAATGTAAGGCAGCCTTCCCTCTACTATTCACTACCAATTCAGAAGTGGAAAAGACAACTGGATTATCTTAAGTGCCGCTGGCATCTGCCTACAGAGGACGTGGTTTCACAATTTAATGCATGCACTATGTCATTATCCACATTACTGCCAAGTAAGAGAAGTATCTTGACTGTCTCTTCTGCCAATCATCAGCACTTCAGGTACACCTAGAATAAGACCGAGCTGGCTTACTTAAGCGTGAGTAGGATGAGGATCCTTGTAGAGGATCAGAGTAAAGTCTGTTGAGACAGCTTTAATTCTGAATTGCTTTCTGTGCATCCACACAAGAAGTATGATCTAATTCTTTAAGAAAAGTCAGGGATAACTTGGCTCCCTGCTTTTCCAAAGGGTAAGAATTAGACTCCAATGACTAATTCCTTTCTCCATGTTATATTTGTTTACTTATTTTTCCAGGCCACATAAATAAACATTTTGCTGAAGCAAGAGAAAAGTATCTAACTGACAATATCTTGTGACTTGGGCAACTAGGACACAGAGAAATGGTTGGTTTCAATAGTGAAGTAAGGTAAGAGCAGTCTTGGAAATTCTCTGTATCAACAGTAGACCAATGTATGTGTCTCAAATTGCTGGGAAGCTTTCTATGATGGCTTCTGGTCTGAAATAAGCTGTATCTTCAGTTAACAGATTCACACAGCAGAGGTAGAAAAGTTTGGAAAATTATCAATTCCTCAGTCTAGCCTTAAGAAATGGAATTATACTTGGAAGAAACATGCTTGAAACAAACTAAAGCTTACTGCTGACCTACGAAGGCTAGAACAATTACGTTCACTGGTAAAATAAATTTTAAAAGGTACTAATACCATTACATACTTGGACAGAGAGAAGTATCATTAGTTCTGTAACAGAGACCTCCAACCTTTGCCCTAGGAGTTAATAAAGAAAGCATAACCAAGAAGTTTTAAGAAAGCTTTGAACAACACCTCTAACAGCTTTTTCTTTTTTAAATAATTACCCTAGGAGACAGATTGAATCAAAAACTAAAAAGACTAAAGCTCCAAAAGAAGAATAGTCATATCACTGCAAGTTTTACTCCCAAATCTAGCTGAATTTCCAGTACATCTATTTTGGCACACTGATTTCTTACCCCATGTTCCTCTTGCTTAGCAGACACAGTCTTATCTCTGTCTTTGGATGGCTGAAGTAGAACCTTTACAGGAAAGATTAACTCAGCTATCTTGCCTTTAAACTTCCAATAAAAGCAAACAACCACTTTAAGTGACAGTCCACCTTGGACTTCTATTACTCTGGACAACTGAAAGAGAAGCAGGCACCTTCGAGGAGGACGTGTCTACCCCAAAGAGATAAAGCATATGGACATGCCAGTCCAGGGATGCCTTGGTCCAAGCGTGCCATACCAGATCTGTGAATAGACACAGGACTTGGTATTTCTGAGCTGACAAGCCAACCTTTTCATTATAATACAAAGTGTCTCCAAGAGAGATGTGACATATTGTCAGCATGGGACTGAAATCACAGGGAAATCATTAAAAAGGACTGCATTGCTGGGTTTCAGAAGTCTCCAGAGGTAGTCTCAAGACCAAAGGACAGGCTATATATGTTAACAGGGTAGAAAAAACTTCTGTCAGAAAGACAGTGACAGAAAAGAATGGAAGCTATTGCAAATTCATTTGATTAAATATATCATCATCTTATATCTGTTGTTCCAGAAATTGTAAGATAAAATAAAAGCTGTTTCACTCCAGCACACCCCAGATCTAGATTTGCACAGAGGAGACACTCACAGGATAAAATTACGTATTACGCCTTTAGAGGATTTAACATCTAACTGTATGCTAATGGAGAAGATCCTATTCATGCCTCCTTCCCCACAATATGCAGAATACTCCCTTCCTCCCATTTTACCAGCGTTTGCCGAAAAACGGACCAAGCTGATTCAACAGCAACTCAAATGTGCTAAAATGAACAACTTTCTGTGGGATTAGCAAATTGAATTAACTCACTGAAGGGTCAAACAACTGCCAAAGCAATGGGACTTCACCCTAAGGTAATGAGATTGGTGGTGTGCCTCTCCTCCACCATACAGGTGTGAAAAGGCAGCACAGGTAGGAAGCAGCTGGGGATCCTAGACAAGAGAAACTGAAATTGCAGAAGTAACAAAGTAGGAAACTGCAGGCACTGCAGATACCAATGACCTTCCTATCGTTTTGGTGCATGCCCCCTTTAAACCGACTGGGCTCTTACGCACTGAAATACCCTCTCTCCCCTCCCTTCCACATTTCTTCACTTGTCACACGTTATCTGTCCTCTGAGCTTTACCATCCCCAAATCCTTATTGTCTTTCCTTAGAGTTTCTCCTTCCCCACTTAAACTCATAATCACAATAACAACAATAGCATTAACGTGACACTCATCACCATTGCCAAAAATCACTGAGCACACACATCCCACCCCTTTCCCCTTCCTTTTTCCATTTACTTATCCAGGAGACTGGCGATCGCAACACGTTTGTGCAATGACTCGGCTAACAGGGTGCTGCAGTAACTACCACAGACACCCACAACTACTGGTACCGGTCTTCTGATTGACCTGACATAAGCAATATAAAACAGTTTTCCTTCCACATTAAAAGATCTCCCAAACCAACCAACAACCCACCAACACCATAGCCCCTCTCACAACTTTCTTCCTTCCAACATTCAAAGCTGTGTGCAATCCCAATTAACCTCATTAACAGACTGGAAAATAACCACACTGCTTTTCTACAAGATACTCTATTTCAGCACACAAAGAAAACAGTAAATTAGTTACCAAAAGGAAACCACTTAGAAAGCAACCTTGCGTGCATCACATCTATTGCAGCTAGCGAGCCTCCCCTTTGCACCCCTTGCTTTTTGCAGGACTCGGTATGTATTTACCTGTGGCATGAAGAGTCTGAGCTAACACCCAATATTCAAGTCACTACCCCTTTGTATCACCAAGGGAGACAAACATCGGCTGCGAAAGCATGTGGGCAGAAACGTAAGCAGAACACCGAGGTGATGATGAATAATGCACTCCTGAATATCAAGTTAGAGTGGGGATTTTCATAATTTCATAACATCCCAGCTTCTTTCCCATATTACAGCAAAACAAAATAAAATGTAGGTGGAACCAAAGTCCTGTTGCTATTAGCATGCAAAGAAAACGAACTTATTTAAATTCACCCATCTGTTCTGGCCAAACATTTATGAGTAATTCTCAACATTTCAGTCACCTGAAAAAAAAGACGGTGAGTTCTAGGCACAAATGCTTCCTAAACAGTTAATATTAAGGATCACAGATGATGAAACCATGCAGCGTTTCATTCTTTCAGTGAGCTTTGTTTCTCGCCTGGCTTCCTGGCTGCTTTTTGTCTCTAGCATTTCTCTCCCATTTCTGGCAGATGAAGTGGAGGTGGGGAAGAAAAGGGAGGAAAGTTCTTGGGTGGCACAAGGATCACAGTAATTTCCAATCCTTCAGCAAGGAAGAGCTTGCTCAGGGAACAGATGACCTAATGCTGCTACCTACTCCTCCAACCCACTTTATTTTTTTTTTTTAACCTTACGTTTACAGGTGTTTCCAATTATAAAGTTGTGTAACGCAGGGACAAAATTTAGTACATCTATCTCCTTTCTGCCCCCAAATCCACAGGGAAGATACCTCCCACCCACACATTTCCTCTGCCTTTTTGTTGTTGCTGCGGGCAATTTAAAAGAGAAAACTGCAATTCAGAGAGATCCTCAATCATGCACCTACAGGTCATTGACATTTGGTTCACGCCCGAGCCTGATGTGAATGTAGATGCCACTCATCATAAGGACAGTTATGCCATGGATAACAAATCATCCCAGCTCCCTAAATTAAACAACAGTATTAACACAGGAACAACCTTACTTTCAAAGCATTCTTGGTATTCTGCCCGATTACCTGCCCTTGTTCAAAACAAAGGGAGAACTGTCCTCACATGGCTCTACTTATGTTTCCTTTCAGCATTCTGAAACAAGAGCAGTTTAAGATCTTGCATTTTGTTTTCAATTGGAAAGGTCGCCTGGATTGGGTGGCAAAACCAGTCTGTACCCTTTTTTTAATAAGGAGAAAAGGAAAGAGATGAGACACAAGGAAGGAGGGAAAGGAAAGCTTAATGCACCTTCATTTTTAAATCAGAAAAAGTCTCAGAGAAGTTATGGAAAAAGTATAATTACTGAAAAAACAACACTGAAAGCCTACAGAACCCAATTCTCTCTTGAACACTAGAAAATGCAATTGGGAGGTGATGACTACTTACATATAATATGTAGGGTATAATCCTTCAAAGTACCAGCAATGCTTTTTGGCATCTGTAAACTACAAAGAAAGAAAAACATGTCATTAACATTTACGTAGGACAATGTATAATTATAAACACAAGCACAGAGTATTCATAAATACTGTGACTTTGAGCACTTAGGAGCGGTTTATATTCCCCAAAATTTCCCAATCCCGATACACACAGCAACTGGGAAGTCTGTTCATGTGAGTGGCGGCGAGCCCTGCCAGGGCTCGGGCTCCTCACGCGGGGCTTTGCCTGTGGGGCCCCAGAGCTTCCCGCCATTCACCAGCAGAGTCAGTACATTCGGCGCAGGCAGAGGATCCAGCTGCGCGTGTTCCCTGGCAGAACGGCTGTCTTGAAAGACCACAGAGAACTTAAGAGCCCATTCGTGGTTATAGTCACTTAAGAAACCTCGAAGGCATCACCAGCGTGATAACGCTATGCATATGACTACATAGGAAATTCAGTAATTGCAGGGAATTACTCATTTTTCTGGAAGTCTCGGGTATGCGGAGCCAGGCTCGGAAAGGAGCAGAACAGAGAACCCATCCATCCCATCTCCTCTTCCTTGGAAATATCTGAAGCGTTCATTAAAGTACCAGGGAAAGGAAACTGCTTGCTACAGCCCAGGGGTATTGTTCTCTTTTGCAGATTGCCAGTGTATCGTTGTTAAAGGATGGCGACAGGCATTTTCTCAGCGTGCGTGTGCAGGCAATGTGGGAAGCGTACATCATTACGGGCACTGCTAGAGCACAGACGGCAGCTCAGAACAATAGTGGCACTTAAAAACGAAAACCAGATGTCAAGCTCAAACTCTATATACAACGCACAAAATATTTCTGCGTATCCCGCTGACATCGCTAGCATAAAATGCCGTCTCCATTGCAGATGTAGCTCCAGGAGCTCCACCACAAGCTGCACTATCTGATCACATGCAGCCAGGGCACTGAGGGACACCCTCCGCAGGGCAGCGAGGAATATCTTGCTGAGGTTTTAGCAACAATTCCTTTTTGCTGCTCACACCCGACACCCGACGTCGGAGAGTGCTCGGCACACCGGCGGTGCTTGGATCATCCTTCACGTTCACTTGGCAGCTCACCTTTAAATAATAGCTCGTGTAAGTTTATTAGCCTCCCCAAATACCAGAATACTAAATGAATCCAGTTAAGACAAAGACAAAGCGTTTTTAGATCCCAGACTCTCACTCCTCATGAATAAGACAGGGCTGCAAGCTCTTTAATGAGCATCTGATGTGCTAAATCACAGACAGATCAATTACAGCCCATGAAGACAAACTGCTATGGATTAAATTGTTAAGAGCGGTACAGGAGATGGGGGCAGGAGGAGAAGGAGAAGACGCTTCTGATGCGTGCGATCAGGCCTTTCCACAAATACAACAGGCACACACCAGTCTTTGAGATGCTGAAGCTTTAGCTGCTGTTGAAAGGACTGGAGCTTTTTCCTCAGGATAAACACAGCGGAAGCCTCACTCCCCTCTCAAATTGATGCCATGGTCCAGGCAGTACATGGAAGAGGGCTCCACAGCTGCTGCTGAAGCAAGCGGTGTTCAAAGATCCATCTCCACAGTTACCCTATTCACCCCTTTCCCCCGCCTCCTTCAAGGCTTCCAACTTCTTAACCTTTCCTTCTGAATATTTTCATTCATAAGTTTTCTCTTCCTCTAAAATTAGAAACATGCCAAGATGCTTTCCGTAACACCCTGCAAACATATACGGATTGTAAACCCAGCAGGTCTGCTGCCGAGTATAGTGAAAAATACTTTGGCTCTTCACCTTTGAAGGCTGCAGATCAGCAGGCCCTGGCTAAAATCCCAGTGCCTGCAGGTCAACCCCTTGGGAAGCCTCATTTCAGCATCCAGCTCGGGGTGTACGCCGTTAAATGTTTTTCCTTCCTACTTTTCAACCAGTATGAGTCACCGCTTACCTCAACAGCATTAAAGCCTTCCTCAGTTTCGAGAATTTTAATTGATGTTTTCCCAGCAATGTTTTCCAGCACGTGGAGCCTGCATACCCTTTACAAGTGTAAAGGGGATATTTATATTCAGCACTCATTCTGCTCACCCTCCTCCCTGTATTTTAATCCACTTTACAAGTTCTAAAAGGAGTTGGGAAGATTCCTCCTTCCCATATGTCCTAAGCTGTATCATTTCTGTTTCTGCCTCTGAACAATTCTCTGTTGCGGACAGCCAGTATGCTTACTGCTGTCACAAGAAAGGCTCCAGCCTGGGAAAGTTTTGCAAGTAAGTTCCTTCTAGCTTACAGGACTTAGATACCTGCACTAAAAATCCCTCAGTGCCCAATCCTTTGGGTACCAATCCCAATTCTGCCTTTTTTTTTTCCAGTATCACAGTGCTATGAATACTGCATGGCAGTTGTTCAGCTCTCCTATACGGGAATCAGGCAAACAAGCAAGTGGACCTCAAATGTGGGCAGCACAGCCAAATCCGATACCCATGACACATCAAATAGATTTACACACACAAGGTGAAGTGCTGCCGTCCCCGCTCGGTTAAAACTCCTACTGATCTCCATGGCAACTTTACACCAGTAAACCCTGACGTAAAGCAGGAGGCTACTAACCACCACCCCTACTGCTGGTTAGCAGACCTCACAGGAGTTCACGGCTAAGAATAAGATGGGGAATATCATGGTCTCTGAGGATTTGAGCCTCTTTAGCACTCAGGTACCAGAGAGATGAACAGGGTAGTCAGGGCACAGATTAGTTTTTCCCAGCCCACACACATCTTCTGAAGCAGGCTATGATCATCCGTCTCTTGCCAAGATCCAAATTATTCTTCTGAGTGGTACCAGCCTCTCAGTTAAGCTGGTGGAGAGCCGTACAAGCACGAAAGGGGATGTATGCCATCTGCATCAGGCTCTCATCCTCACAGAGCCTTTAGAGGATGATGTCCTTGTAGTTGTTAGAGACTATTAAACCCTCAAGAAACAGCAGCTGGCAGCAACTCACTGCAGTCCACAAAACAGCACAAAGGGAAGATTACTCATATTTCTGCCGTACAAAAGGACTACAGACATCAGGGTTGGTGCCCGGTCTGGTAGCTCCTGTACGAAGACAGGCTGTAACTCAGAGTTTCTAACAAGTGTTTGTTCATGTCTTTAAAAAGCCATTTACCCATTCACTAATAACAAAAAAGTGTGTTATATAGTTTTTAAACTAAGCTTAGGTACGGCCCTGCTGATACTTTCAGCTTTTCTAGGAGAAGGGCTCTGCACATTTTGCTTTTAGAATTCCTCCTTCTATGCCCTTTAACAATTTGGCACAGCTATAGAATATAAATACAAGAGTACATTCATTTTTTAAATAAATGATGCAGGTCTAATTGGGTGTGCATATGTAATCTTTAGAGAATTAATGGTATGTGAATTAGCCAGATGCTTGAAAACATTCCTTAAGGTTGCATATTTGGAAAGAGAAAAAACACAAGACTTGTTTGTTTGTTTTTATATAAATCAGCATCTGCCTTGTAGCCTGCTTTCCTTGACAGACTGCAGCAACACGAACTGCAGGCCGTCCTTTTCTGTGGCCTCTAAATTCATTCAGATTTCCTTTAAGAAAGGAAACGTGCTTCCTGCCACAGATTGAAATTGCAAATGTTACTGCTGCTAGTAAGAACAATGAGAAAGACAAGTTACCAAAACATTAACCAAAGACTGATTTTCATCACAACATAAAACACAGAACGGGAGTACGTATGCATGCACGTGGTGGCGTGGGGGAAGACAGAGCAGGCAGCCTGCTCATCGAATGTCGGATGGTAATCTACACAATCGCACATCATTATCTTTTAGTCCACAGGACAGTAAAAAGAACACAGATCTGATCAATTAATTACTCTTTGCAATCAAGGGAGTGGTGGATTCATGCCCAGTGCTTTTATTGGAGGTTTGGAAAAGAGGAATAAAAAGTAAAAACAATTATGGCCCCATCTGCAGATAGTAAGTACTTTCCAATATGAGTACAGTCCATTTTTGTTACAGGTACCAATGAAAGTGCAGCCTGCTGTGGAGGGACATGTTTGTGGAGGGCAGGGGGAGGGCGACTGCTATCTGTATGCTGAAGGGGCATTCAGGGCAAGTTTGTGAGATCTGCTCAAAGCCGGATTCTGTAGGAGGCATAGGTCTGCTATTGATCACAAAGTCAATGAAACCCCTATCAGTTATCAGCAGCCGAGGGCGCGGCTCGCTCTTTTTAACCAGACAAAAAGCTAGATGCCACACACAGTTTCCATCACGTATTACAGTTATAAGGATCCAAATAGGTAGATTCTGAAGGTAAAAAGGAAGGAATTTAACTGAGTGACCTGATATGACAGAAATGGCTCCTAGTATTCTGGGATGACCCCCTTAGCGGCTGTTACCTCTTGTTCAGCTGGGTATGTGCTATGGGTTAATAGGGTGCAAGTTGATCCAAATGTCATTCTTGTGGCTACAGCCTCTGAGGCTCTGCTAGGATTAATTCACAGATAAAGGGAAGAAAGGGTTAAAAGCATCTAAGAAATGGAACAAGGCCTCATTGTTTCTGAGCATCACAGGACCCTATTCCAACACAGACCCAGAACTCTGCCTTCCACACACCTAGATCGAACTAGTAATTGAGGGAACGGGAGGGACAACACCTTTCTGACCATACGGCTCCACCTGACAAACAACTGGCTATGCCTGCTGCCTCTGTTACAGAAGGCCTCTTGCAAAACTGCCCCGTTCAGGTCTTTCCCAGCTCTATTGGTCACTGCACCTGGCAAGGTGGAGTGACCAGACAAAAAGGTGTAGCCCAGACAAAAGGATGGGACAGTCTATAGTGCAACTCCAGACTAAATAATCGGTTCCAGAAGGCACATCACGGGCTAGGAATCACAATGTTTTATAGGATCTGACCTTTAAAGTTGTATCAGTTTTCAGAACACTATCCATTTCAGTGCCTAGACAAGAGCTGAAAGCATTATGAGATACAAGCTGCTCGTTAGATACGGTGCGCTGCAATCAGAAGGACTTCTGCATGCTGCAAGTTTGAAAGATTGGATTTGCAGAGACAAGAATATGAGCATACCACTCTTCCATAGCCAAGAAAAGGGCAAAATATCATCCATTAGAGTTAAGAGACAACATATACTGAACCTGAAAAGTGCAGCCTAAGGGTGAAAACAATTTACTACAGAAAATACATTTTGCTTTAGCCTTGCCTGAATCCATCAAAATTCATCCCTGCTTCTTCCCTGGTGACGCTAACAGCTGAGGGTAAAAGTAGCCCATCTCCAAATTATTCTAAGAAACTGAGCTCGCAAGCCATGTTACCAGTGATTTCAACAAATACTCCTGTCACAAAAAACAGAAGCAATTCTTACTAAAAAGCAGGATTGCATTAAGATATTTTTATTTAATAAGGTAATGAGGAAACAGCAGGGAACTCTTATATAATAGGATGTTGATCTTTACCAAGCTTTCCCTCCCATGTAACGGTAAACAAAACAAATACTATTCTGGATATTCAGCTGTTTCATCAAAACCAAATTTACAAAGTCATGAAACTTACAGTATAAAGAATTATTTTCATATATTTCAGGACTTGTTTCTGGTCAGTCTTTCAGGCTGTTCTCTTAAGAGACAGGGAATATTTCCCATATAGGATTCTTAAAAGAAGCAACTTTTCCACCTGGAATTAATCAGTGTGTGTTTTGCCACAGTAAAAAATACAGCGCAAGCAGCTAATTCTTATTAGTTCTTCTGGTGCTCCAAGCACGTGCATTAATCATCATATTTTTATCTAGAATTAATGTGGGTTTAGCATCAGATAGCCTCCTGTTGCAAACCATTAATTTA